GCCCCAGACAGCATAGCTCCTAAGATCATTGGGACACTCAAACCCCTCCACCACGATAAGGTAGCAGCCCAAGGAGAGGAATTTTAAATTTTAAATACAGTTTTGTGAATTGCAATTATAGCTACTGTTTTGCTGCTTTTAGCTCTGGTTAAGCTCATTTTAGCTTTTTTATTTTGGCTATTTTAGCTACTTCAGCAAAACAAAACAAACATATTTTGAAAGTTAATCATTTAGAAAATCATAGAAACCGTTTTAGGCTGTTAGAGGACCTGCATGGACCAGATTCCTACCAGAACAAGAGACAGGAGGCGATGGAAAGCTGTTCTTTGATTCCAGTTTGATTGCAAAGAATAAACTAACCTTTGGATTTTAATTCATGTGTTTGAACAATTGACTCCTTTTGCCTGTTTACAGAATAATCCAACAATTAATCTGTGTGTGTTTGGTGTGGGGGGAGTTTGAGACACATGCAGACCACAAACAACTCCATGTGACCTACCAGACATGGGAGTACTGGTCCAGGCCCAGCAAGGCGTGCTCGGCGTTGTTAAAGACGCTCTGCTGGATCCTCAGTTCTGCACGGGATGGGCCGCAGATGGTGGGCTGTCTGGGGGTCCCATTCTTCAAGGAAAAACAGGAAGTGATGTAACCAATTGGTGTCGTCTGGATATTCCCTGTAAGACAGTAAATGAACAATCGGTGGATACGTTTATGTGTAATCTTGTAGAAGCTGATCTAATCCACATTAAAAATAAACCTTGTTCTAATGCATTTTGTGGTGATGAAGGTGTCTGGTCCTTATCTTCACAGAAGCCAAGCTTTGACACAGCAGCCTGAAGAGATGTCATGTGTTTGCGATGAGCTCTGACAGAACTGTCCAGCATCTGTCTAAAGGAAAACAAATCATTAGAACTGAAGGACAAGTTCAGATATTTACAGGTAAAAACAGTAACAACGCTGAATGATTCTGTTGCGAGGATCACGCGTTCATTGGTGGGTTTATAACGAAAACACAAATACATGTTTAAGTACAAATAAAGATTTTTGTGCACAATTATAGTCAGTCAGGTGGCAAACATACCTCAGGTTCTTAATTTCTTTCCGCATCACAGAAACTTGCTGATTTATTTTATTAATAGGCGCATTACAGCAGGAACACAGCGGACTCATTTTTATTGATTTAAAAGAGAAAAACAACTCAACACGACCCGGACTTTGCTAGCTCATAGCTGCTGCTCCAGCAGAAAAACGTGAGTTGATCAACCCGGAAGTTATATATTGTTGTCCAACCAGAACTGTTCCTGTGACAAACAAGCTGTCATCGGAGGGATCAAAACGCTATATTGGTTTATCACGTATCAATTTTATAACGATGTTCAATACTTATTTTTTTAATATCATCCCGCAGCGATTCGTAAAACCTGTCGTAAAATAGTTTTATTTATTTTCCACAACATTTGGACGCACATGCTTGTTTCTAACATCAGGGGGCAGCAGAGAGAGATTGGATGCTAAAAATGAGAGAAAAAGGAAAGTGGAACTTTTGGAC